ACACACACACACACATACATACACAATGGTGATTATTAATATATTATTCTATTGATATTGATGACAAAGCATTTTTAAAAAATTTTATCAACTAAAAACTTCATTGCAAGCACAATGATTACTAAAAAAAATTTATCCGTGTTAGAGAACGGAGAAAAATGTATAATATTTACACGTAAAATAAATAATACAACTCTTATATTGACGATTAATGTGTTAACATTCTACATCTATTGTTATCTGATCAATGAGAGAGTTTATCACATTGCAGGGCCGCAATTGAAAGATATTAAACTTTTATTTTAATTCTTTGAAATTACAGACGACCGTGGAAGAATTGGTTACAGCAACGGCTTATTTTGATTTGTTTCTTCGATCTGTAACTGATCCTGGCTTGTTGCGATCACTCGTTAGATTTCTGTTAGAAAATAATTATGAAGATTGTAGAATACTAGATTGCCTAATACAAAGGATTTCTTCTCGATCGAGGGTAAATTATAAATCTGATAGAATATTTCTTAGATATAAACTTATTTTTAACATTTTATTTTTTAATTTAGTTATGCATAGTTACTCTGGCGTTATTTGAAACTCTAATTAATTTAAATTGTGAAGATATCATGTTGGAATTGTGTTTGGGTGCATTAAATCCGTGTTCACACGTAATGTTTTCTCAACGTAGTCGACTGAGAGATGTAGATCCTTTTGGACGAGCGGCAGAAAAATTTTTATCTTTAACACCACGTTGTTGTTCTGTATTTACGCCAATGGACTCGCAAACAAATTCTTTACCTAACGTTGTACTATCTACATACGACAAATATGGATGCATTACATCTGATTCCATGAAATCGTTACCAGCATCAATAAATTATGGTACTAGATTATCAGATAGCTTATATGGAAATTATCATGCATATCTCTGTGATGCCAGACAAAAAATTAAAGCTTGCCGTATTGCGTGTTCCAATTGGTCTTGCCAGTATGATGGTAATTTACCTCAACATAGTAATATTAGCATGACTACATTGATAGATGAAAATATTGTATCTGATCAATCACAGAAAAAGGCAGAAGGATCTAGAACATTGAAAATGATTAAGAATGCAATGAAATCATGCGAAAATGATAATGATGCATCATTGGACAATGTGTTACTTAATATTCAATCTTTATTGGAAGGAAAAGATTTAAATAGTAATGAACATAATTTTAAAAACGAATTGAATATGGATATTGCATTGTCTCTTGATGAACAAGCACAATTGGATGCCGATATTGCAGAGTTGTTGAACGAAAACATTGGAATGACAGAATGTACAGAAGAAACCTGTTTAAATAAAAAAGAATTCGATAGCTGTATAGAAGATTCGACCACGGCTATGAATTCACTTATATCACTAGGTGAGAGTAGCGGCTACGAAAGCTTTGCGTTTAAAGGCTCGCCAGAGTCAACACCGGATAAGGAAACCAATGAAGATCGGATGAGTGAACATGAAGAAACGCACATTATAATTAAGAAAGAGATTGATGATGTCCCTATGCGTAATGACGCGGAATCAAACCCTCCAATAATTGTGAAAACATCATCGAATAAATTAAATAAAGATCCTTTGTACCGACAGGACGTTTTTAACGGTCAGCCAAATGTTGGTATATTTTTAGATGTGATTTTACGAAAACTCGAGTGTATGACAAGCAATAATTTATATGTCAATTTACATCTCACGGGCCTCATTAGCAGATTGGCAATATATTCTCAACCGTTACTGCAATCGTTTCTGTTAAACCATTCTCTTGTATTTCAACCCAGCATCAAGTCTTTGTTTCAGGTACTTACTCGTTGTTGCATTTGTGATTATGTAATGATATTGCACATTATTATCCATGTTTGCAGACTTACATTGATTTTAATCTAATTTGTTTGAGTTTTTCTTCTAAAGAACATTATTATTTTTATTATCTAGATGTTGTGGATCGCTATGAAAATCAAGAGAAATAATATTTTTACAATTTATATTGCAGGTGCTTGCATCATTAAAACATAAAATAGATCAATTTCTTTCAAAACATAACAATGTGGATTTATTAGTTGAACAAGCAAAAATATTTCTGATTAATCGAGAAAACAAATTAGTAAATGCGAGGAAAAATGTAATAGAAGCTGCTGCGCAATCGTCATCTATTAAAAGACAATCTTTAACTGGTGAACCATTCTCAAGAGGTACTATTTATTTCGTGAATATATCTTAAGAATTAGATATATCTTTCATTCATTATTGATAAAGAATAAACATTGGGTTCAATACTGTAATCGCTTATTCATTGACTCTCTTCTCTTTTATTTTTCTCTTATTTTTTCTATTCTCTTATTTATATTCTTTTCTGCGTCTTTTACCCTTTTTATAACTTTACAACTACATTAATCTTACCCTTTAAAATTTTGTGCACACTGGAAGTATTCAAAAGATGTATGTATTGATATAAAATATTTTTGCTTGTATATTATGTAAATTCCAAATTATTATATTTGTATTTATAGGGGAACCAAAAAGGAAAAGTTTGACATCATCATTCACACAAATGTTTAGACGATCAAGTGGCGGTTTAGGTCCAAGTCTAACAAATTCCATCAATCAGCCGTCCAGTATATCAGAAGATCAGTTACAAATAGTTGGATCTGGATATAAGTAAATTATTTCAGATTTTTATACTTTATAGTAAATTATAATATGAAAAGAAAAATCTAGATCAGTTTTTTATCACGATGTTTAGAACGTTAAATTATACTTCGTTACTTCGCGTAGCTACAAATTTACAATACAAATTTATACAAATTTGCGCATGTCTGTTCTTTTACATATGACTTTATACATATGTAAAGTTGGATTTTTAATAGTAGAAATCAAAACCAAATTTTAAATAAATTGCAATTATCAAATTCCTTGTCTGAAAATAATTCATGTCGACGTCGAAAAGATTTATTGACAGAAATCGAAAATAAACACATTTTTCACATTAAATATTTGAAAAATTATCCTAAATCTATTACCAAGATCTAATTACATTGGAGATGATTTTAATCCCACGAGTATGAATGAATAAGTGAATGAATAAATGGAATGCAATATAGTTACATATTCTTCTCTTCAATAGGTATACGAAAACTTCGTGGGAATCACCGAATGAAATAAGCCCAGTGCAAAATGTTGTACTATGTTCTGTAATTTTAGATGAATGGCTTAAAGAGCTCGCAGCAATCACTCAGGAGCATGCTATTATGTCCATTACAGATGGTAATAGATTTATGTGAATTTGGAAAATGAAACAAGAGAGAACATTTGAAAATATTCCCCTCCGCTTATATATATGTAATTCAAATGTAAAGAAAATAAAAAATATGTATTTTCGACAAATTCAATTCCGCGTAATGCTGAAATTAATTTGGCACATTTCTGAGTAAAAATCATGAAATATAAAAAAATGTTTTAGACAAAAATTTTATCCTGCGCAAAAAGAATATAATCGAGTAACACAAAATGACAATCACTCACTTGTTTGCTCGTTATTTATTGCACACAAGTGAAGACTGATTTCGCGGTACTCTTGTCACACGGGTACTCATGTGACACACATACACATATGCACACATTGATCCGAAACAGTTGAAAACACGTATAATAGAAAATATTGTAAAAGGATTAAATGTTCTAAATGGCTCTTCATTGTGATTCCTTTAAAAAGAATTTATATTATTACTTTCAAAAGATATGTAACATTAATTATGCATACTTTTTTAAATAAAATAAATATAATGAATAAAAAATTTTATGAGGTTTTACACTGAAATAGCCATTTATTTGAAAGTATCAGTGTTCCAGAATGAATGTAAATAGTCAAATCCGCCACTAATTGAATACAACGATACCTTTAAAAATGTGAACTAAAAAAATATGGAAGAAAATATTGAGGAAGAAAACGATAAATTAATATAAATGCTATATTTTTGTTTATAGTAAAAAAATTATTTAATTAACATTGTTAATAATAAATAAAACGTTTTAAAGAATTGTATAAATGAATTTTTTTTTAATTTAAACTTTTAAATTTTTTAAAAACTAATTATGTGGTTAAACTAAATTATGTGGTAAAAACTAATGCGGTTAAATTACACGAAAAAAACATTAAAGAAACATATTTAATAGACATCTATCTACAAAATCAAAACTTAGTGATTATGCTTATGTTTTGAAGTGATTCTTATTACTTGCCCGACATTAAAAGTTTAAAAACTTTTCATTATTAATAATATTTAATAATTATACATATAGATAATGATGCAACAAGTCATTCGTTTCTTTTAATTGCGTATATGTAACGGCGTCCATGCAATGAGTTTATCTTATTGTGTTTGTTATGCTGTTAGGAACGAAACAATTATTTACCGCGTGATAACTTCTTCTTCACGTTCAAACGCTTAGTCGAGAAATAATCTTTAAGAGCGAGGGTCTTTATCTAACTGTGCGAGAACTATATGTTTGTATGAGACTTAATTATTCATTTCCTTGCGAGCTCATATTTCATCTCTCTAATATTCTTTCGCGCGTAAAATGCTCGCCATTACATTGTATGCGCACTGTTGCCGTGTTTGGTATTACACGACTCGTATGTTATGATCGACGTATTGTATCGCGTAATTCTCAAATACATTATTGTTATTTGTTACATGTAATTTTGTATGATTGATATTTCTCTCGTCCTTCGATTTTCCTCACTTACGAGTCACCACCCACCTATTACTAAGCGGTCCATTTCGTCCGTCGTTCTATATGCAAAATTGTGGTCTGATTCTATTTTTCTGTATTTTTTTCTTAAACGCGACGACGTTGTGCCGTGCTCGTGAGTACGGTCACAATATATATACAATTTATAGTTATATTTTCATTTAAAAAATTCGTAATTTTACTCCATTTCTAAATCAGGATCTTCCCTTAATGTATAAAATATAAAAATATTATATATAGGGTAAGGTGAGGTTTTCTTTGTCCACGGAGCTATTCCAGTTAACGATGTTTTTAATTAATATATTGTTTTTAATTAATATATATTTAACATTTAAAGATCATGTTTACTTTTAAAATGCAATCGTATTTGAGAGTAATGTACAATTATAAGCAAATTATATTGTTTATTAAAGTTTTAGAACAGTAATGCAAAAATAATCTCTGATAATCGTGAATTATTTTCTTACATTATTAATTTTTTTTAAGATCTTCAATGAGCGGAAGAATTCTACTTTGATATATGTACACTTTCAGTTTAGATATTTATGTAATATTTTTCTCTATTAAATGTTAATTTTTATGCTTACAAGAGGTTACATTATGTTCAGTAATAAATCATGTTTGAAATTTAATTGGGTGAGACATTTTACTGTAAAATTTTCATATCACTTTAAGTTGAAATTTGACGAAATAATCCCATCTTATCTTATAAAAATTATAATAAAATGAATAAAATAAATATAAAGATAAAGGTATATAATATAATTACTATGTCATAATATGAAATATCGTAAATTATAGATTTATTATAACGAATAAAATAGTATTTAAAATTATCTTATATATATGAAAACACATATATGTGTACTTTATGTATCGATTACTCTCCATGTCCCGCAGCTCTACGTAATAAAACATATATCTTTTCTTTGATCCAATCCTTATTATAAGGAGCATAAGTATTTGTTGATTTTTGGTAGACAAGACAAGATAAATCCGTTAATTGATCCACGAAATCAAATAACTGACTAATATCGTAAGTAATAGTTGGAGTGTTTGGATTTCGTCTCTTTAGATGTTCTTCATAAATTTTACAAACTCCTACAATAATAAATAAATAATTAATATTCGTAATTAGTATTGAAATATTATAAAAATACAAATGTATGCATACGTGTATGTATAGAATGTATTTTACATAATGATTAACAAATTACTGAGCGAGTCATAAGTATGTTTTAAAATATCGTATTACTGGATAAAAAAGAATAAATGTTCTTGTAAATATTAGGTCATAAATGTTTCGTTGCCAAAATAACAGACATAAATATAATAAGATCAAATAGTGACTTTAAAGTGTGAAGTATTTTAATGTTCCGTATTCATAATTTTTCACACATGCTTTAGCATGACGTACACATAACTGTTCTTCATAGAACATTTGTATTTTCTTTTTAAGGGTCGCACTTATAAAATTTTTTAAATATATTTATGACTCGCCTTATATAATATTGTATATAGAACTGCATCATTCTCTTTTGAGTGTGTGCACGTAACTACGTGTGCGTGTGTGCATAAAGATGACCCTACACAATCGATAACACTGATCAGTAATATTGAATCAGTATGCATTAATATTTTTAGTATTTTTACAATTTTACACGATCAGTATTATTGACAGTACACATATGTTTCACTTTAGTTTTACATGCATTATCTATTGCACTGTGACTGTGTGTGGGTTACGTTCAGCAGAAAAAGCAATTTTGCAACTGTTGTAAAATTCTTGAATATAATTGATTTATACATTTAGATCTAAAAAAACTAAGGGCAACAGCAATCATATTTAAAAAAATGCGTGTTCAAATCGGCAAAGCGGCTAGTCTATTCGTCAAGTAAATGAACATAATTGGTTGTTATTTATAGATCCAACTAATCATATTCAATCATTCAGCAGGCTAGCCGCTTGAACGCGCAATTTTACAACAGTTGCAAAATTACTTTTTCTGTTGAACCATAGATTTTAAAAAAGCGGTACTGATGCTCGAGAATCAAAATCTAGATCACCATTAGTATTCTATCAATAGTCAATCTATCAATCATACACAAAGTAATATTGTCAATATTTATTAATACTGATAGTATTATTAACCGTATAGGATCATCTTTAAGCTGATTCTGCATTAGTCGCATCGCAGTGTTGCAAGCGTTGTAGTCTAAAGAGTCAAGGTAACTTGGATCGCAACGCTTGCGACATTACGATTAATGTAGAATTAGCATTGGGTATACATGTGCATGTGTATGAATTTTTAATATATAAGATGTCTAGTTTAATATACAGGATATCTGATTTAATATACAGGATATCTGGTTTAATATATCAGATATCTGATTTAATATATAGAAATTCTGCTGACAACGTTTATGGGCAGATAAGCAGATTAAATAGAATCGAAAAATCCTGTTTTTGCAATTTTCGCGATAGTTAACGAGATATTAATTTCTAAAACTCGCCGAATAAGAGCGTATCCGTCCGGTCAAATGTACGCCCGGTCATGTGAGAATGATTCACTTGCACATTGTTGTGTAATTGCTTACTGCCAATAACAGCAACTTCTGCGTAAGAAGTTTTAAAAATTTTGTCTAACACTGTGATTGGCATATGCGTACAATTGGCTCGTGTACAATTGATATATATACCTAGTCATGGTCGTTAGATGCGCAAGGAATTATTTTTTTCGCTGTCGTAACTTTTTTTATTACTGCTTATAAACAAATTTTTACATGCGCTTAGCGATCACGAGATCAATGGACATGCATTTGGCAGATATAACCAGATAGATACGTATTTATTCGGCGATTTTTAGAAATTAATATTTCTAAAAAATTAATATTAAATTAATTAATATCTCATTAACTTGCAAAAATTGTAAAATAGTAGAGAACTTTCCAACTCAGTTTAGTCTACTCTATCAGCTTACGAGCGTTGTCGGCAGAATTACCAGACATTCTGTATAAATGCTATCGTATTACTTATGTTTTATTTTTCCTATTTCTTATAGATATAAAGGTGTAGAATCGATTGATTTTATGTTGCTTAATGCAATCTTATTTTCATAAAAAATTATAATTTTATATAACATGCATAATAAAAAAGAGCATTAATATCTGTTACTAAAATTTGTAACTTAAATTTATAATATAATATTATCATAAATTATAGTTCAAATTACCTTCCATACATTCATTAATGCTTTCATAATCAGAATACGTTCTTGTTTCAGGTCTGACACCAGGTTGTACTAATAGTATTGTATGAGACTAAAACAAAATAGAAGTAAATGATAATGTAAACTTAATAAACATTATCAATAACTGTCCGACTCAGATTTTAAATCTTAAATTGGAACCACAAAATGATTGTTACAAATTGTTTATTGCTGAAAATGAATCTGTAAATGATGTTCAATAATCAAGTGAACATAATCTATTGTAACTGAAAGGAAAAGAGGCATCTAGATCAAATTATTATTTATCAAATTTTCTAAAAAATATCGGCTTAAGCATAATCTAGATCTTCCGTATTCGTAAATTCATTTTCACATTTAATAAAAAGCATCAAAAATCGAACTTCTGTAATAAAACTTATCCAAAATTTTAACATTGTCCCAAATGAATTCATGATTGAGATGCAACCTATAATTCGTAATAAACAGAGTTAGTAAAAGTATTCCACTGAATGTGACTGCGATGTTCTTTCACTTGTATTTTCTGCAAGTTTGTCCTGCATAAGTTGCATCATAATTCTTACAGCTAATTTTACACACTATGTTCTTTTTTAATTCATGGGACAAAGGAGTCTTATATATTTTGATAAAGTTGTGTAGTTTATTAATATCGACATTCTCTGCATCATTGACAATGTCCCTGAATTTGATGAAAATTATATGCTTTTGAAGAAATTCTGAATTCATTGACAAATTTATTTTCAGCGATAAAACATCTATAAAAATCATTGTTCCATTCTTGATCTAGAAAAAGAATTTATATTTATCGAATAGTGTTATTAATTATATATAATAAAAATGTATGAATATTAATCGATTAAATTTTTCATTGTGTCATATTATTTATGTAAAAAATAACACAAAGAAGTAGAAAAACTATAAATTTTAATGTTATAAAAATATTATAATTGGAAGATATTCATTATAATATTAATACAATATATTGTATAAATTAACTATAATTTTATATATTACATATATATATTGGGTTGTCCGGAAAGTTTGTGTCGATTTTGAAGGAAAATTAAAACGCAGAAGATTTAAATTTAGTTTAGCAGAAGATTTAAATTATAGTATACATTTATTAAATTTAAATCTTTTGCGGTACGAACTTTCCAGAT